CTCTGGGCTGCCGAGGCAGCTAAAGGCCCTAAGGCTAAAGGCTTAGGCAAGCACTATACGTCTATTCGAAAGACCCCGCTTAGCCTTAGCCCGGAAAAGGACCTTATAGGAAGGCCTAGGCCGACCCTTTCGGCCTACTACCAACTTCTCCTCGGGGCCGGCTTCCTATTATCCTTCTTAAAGAGGGTTAATAAGGTAGGCCGAGACGACTACCGCTGCGGCTAAGGAAGGCACACGGCTAGGCACCTTATCCTAAGGTGCCCGAACTATAGGAGGGAAAGAGAGGTCCTTTACCGGGCCTCGAAGGGACGGAAGAAGGCCCTTAGCCTACCTCTTCTCTATAGCACTAAGGAAGGAAGGGAAGCCCTTCTAACCTTCTTAGCTAAAATAGAGATAGGAACGGCTAAGTGGCTCGAAAAAGAGTAACCTAGGGGCCCTTAGGCCCTTAGGGGGGAAAAACACCGCGTAGGAGGAACTAAATTGACCTTTCCTTTATCTTTACCTTTATAGCTACCCTTTCCCTAATTAGGTATAAGCCCCCGGGCTCTATAGCTAGCTAGGACTGCTAATAGGGGCCTAGGCCCCTATTAGCCTCGCCATGGCCCTAGAGGCTGCATGCGAGTAATAAAAAAAAAAAGGGCTAATAGGGGACCCTTAGGGTACCCCTATTACTAGGTCCGTTAGGGGCTAGGTTTGCCCTTCGAAGGCTAGCTAGATCTTCCTTTTAGTAAGGAAGTAGTCTACCTAGCTTATAAGGGCCTTAGGGAGGTTTAATTCCCTTAGGACCCTTATAAGCTATTCCTTTAATACGAAGTTAAAGGCGCCTTTTATATCTAATAAGAGGGTGCTAGTAATAGCCTTCTTATTAGACTCCTACTTCTTTTAGACGTAGTATAGAAGGAGGAAGGCCGTGTCGATAGCTAACCGCTGTTTTCGTCCCCCTAGCTACGTAGGGTTTAGAAGCCCGGCTATATTAGCTAAGTAGCTTAGCCGGGTAGCGTATAGCTTTTCGAGGACCTTCCCTAAGTAGTTAAGTAGACTTATAACCCTATAGGCTTTAGGGATAGTATAGTCTAGCTTATTTTGCTTAGGGAGTATAATTCCTATAGCTTCCTTCTATGCCTTAGGGTAGTATCCTTAGTTAAATAGGGCTTTATAGGCCCTATTAAAGACTATAGGAATAACCTTATAAGCGTATTAGATAGGAAGGAAGCTAAGGGAGTCCGGGCCGGGGGCTTTCTTATTAGAAGAGCTAACGATAGCCCTTTTAATCTTAGGGTCCTTTAGCTCTTACTAGTCCTACTTAGCCGTGCCCTTACTACTTATAGGGCCCGGGGGCTCTTCTTTTTCTAGGCTCTAGGGGGGGCTAAGGGGGCTAGGGCTAGGGTCTAGGGTCGGAAAAAGGGTCGTTAGGAAGGCCTCGTATTTTTCTATAAAGGTATTAGCTTTTACCTCTATCCCTTCTTTTATATACGAGATACTTAGAAGGGTAGGGTTAGCTTTAGCCTTAGTATAGGAAAAGGCCGTAAAGACGTCCTTTCCTACTACTTCTACTAGGAAGCTCTCTTAGTATTGCTTTTTAGCAGCCCTAATAGCGTACTTAAAGCTATTTCGGGCCTCTATAAAGCTCTTCTAGCTCTCCTCGTCCTAGGCTAGCCTATAAGCCCGTTAGGCTAGGCTTAGGGCTTTCCGAAGGGAGGTTAGCTCGTCGGTCTACTAGGGTTTAGATCCCTTATAGGGCCTCTTTTTCGGTATCGCTGCGTTAGAGGCCTCTATAAGGGTTCTTATTAGAAGGGAGGCTATCCCCTCTAAGTCGTCTCGTTTTATAGCCCTCTCTATAGCTATAAGGAGGTCCTGTTCCTTCTTAGCTAGGTATTCCGAGAAGGCCTTCTAGTTTACTTTCCTATAGTTATAGGTAGTAGGCCTAGCTAATAAGGGCCTATTAGGGCCCCTTAAGCTAGCTTCGAAGGCTATAGGCTTATAGTCTAAGCCTATAGCCTCTAAGAAGCGGAAGTTAGCCTAGGTTAGTTGCTTAAAGGGGCTATAGAAAGCGAGGTCTATAACCGAGGTCCCTTTTAAGCCTTCCCTCTAGTAGGTGCCTTCTATAGCTACCGTAAGGTCCGTTAGTAAGGAGGCCTTATAGCGGTCGAGCTAGCTAATAAGGGCTTCTGCCTTACGGGCCTTAGAGGATTCTATAGACGGGTTCTACTAAGGGTAGTATAGGTTAAAGTCCCCTACTAATAGAAAGGGCTGCTATAGGAGCTAGGCAGTTAGTAGCAGCCTTTCTATCGTAAGGGGCCCTTGCCGGCCTTAGCTAGCTAGGGCCCCTTTAGCCTCTTTTTCGTTATATAGGTTAATAAGGGTAAACGGCTCGGCGCCTTCTACCCTTATAGCCTATATATTAGGATCGTAAAAGAGGTCGAAGCTAGGGCTAGCTGCTACCCGGGCTTCCTTCCTCTTATAAGCTATAACCCTAGGCCTCCTATCGAGCTTAGGAAAGTCGGTAGAAGGGATAGGGGTTATAACGTTATAGATTAGTATTATACTATATAATACTAATAGGGTCGTAGTTAGGCCTAGGGGGCCTAGGGGGCTTCGGGGGCCCTATAGGCGTAAGGGGGCTAAGGCTATTAGGCATTAGTTATTCCCTTATAGACTCTATATTGCACCTTATTAGTCGTAAGGTGTTCTCCCTTATAGTTATAGCATTAGACCTTAAAGTAAGAATACCCTTAGAAGGACGATACTTTAGAAACGCCTTAAAGGTACCTAACCGAAGAGAGAGGCATACGAATGCTATTAGAGGCTTAGCCGAGAGCAAGAGAAACACCTCCGAGATTAGGTTCTTGCCTAAGCCGCCCTTAGGCTCCCCCTAACGTATCTCTAGCTAAGGGAATTCGCCGGCCGTATTATTACGGCTATAGGCGATACCCGCCTACTTAGAAAACACTAGGTAGTAGGCTTTTTAGCCCGAAATCTAGAGGTTAGCACGATTAAAGGTAAAGCTCTCGATTCTACTTATATTAACGGCGCTTCTATAGCCCGGATTAAGGAGTAGTTCTAGTTACTTAAGCTCCCGGCTTTATAGGCTATTCCCCTAGAATCACGCTTTAATATAGACGAGATAGGTATCCTCGAAGGCCTCGGCTATAACGGCCTTATGCTAGGGAGCTTAGAGAAGAAGGAGACGCTTAAGAAGCGGCTTAGGTCGCGTTATTAGACTATAATAGTAGAATGCGTCTCTACTACTAGCTAGGCCTTAACTCCTCTTATAATCTTTAAAGGTTAGGACCTTTAATACTAATAGTTCCCTAAAGAACTCGACTTTCTAAAGGATTAGGACTTTATAGCCTCTCTAAAGGGCTAGACGAGCGACTCTATCGCGATTTAATAGCTTAAGTAGGTCTTTATTTTATAAATAAGAAGCTAGCTATACGGCAACGTCCTCTTAATTATAGATAGCTATAGAAGCTATTAGACTAACGATTTTATATACGAATGCTTCCTATATAGTATATATCTCCTTTTCCTACCTCTATACGCCTCGTACGTCCTTTAACCTCTTAATATCTCGATTTTTTCGCCGATTAAAGCTACCTACCGACGTTAACTCTAAAAAATCGCTTCTCTCGACGATATAGCACTAATTAGTAAGGCACTTTTCCTTCGCTACTATTATTAGGCCCGGCAGGCCGGCCTAACCGAGAAAAATATTAAAGGGGGGTAGCGAGGGATAGGACTTTAGCTAGTTAATATAGTAAAGCTATTAATAAGCCGCTTCGTCTTACCCGCGCTATTAACGCCGTTACTACTAAAGAGGAAGAAGAATTTAAGCTTAATAGATAATAGCGATGCCCTTAAAATACCGAGACGATCGTAGGAAGTCCGTAGGCTTATTAGGGGGCTCGAAAATCGCGGTTAAGTTATCCGTACGATCCGTGTGCTTTTTAGCAAAGTTGGCCGTAGCCTTGATCGTTAGAACACGCAGCTTGCAACGGTATAGCTACGTATATAATAGCTTAAGCATTAATTATATCGTCTACGGCCTTAAAAGCAACGAAAAATCGCCTAAGATCTAAATAGCCGGTTTATACGGATTAAATAAGTCATTAAGACGAGGAAACAGCTTTAACGCGCCCTTGAGCCGTCTGCCGTCGCAATAGCTAATTAGAAGGCGGATTTTAAAGCTCTATGTAGAAGCTGGCAGCTAGAATAGTAGGAAAACACCATAATTAAGTATCGCGATATAAAAACGCGGCTTTAATTGCTATTAGAATATGCTGTCTTAGTTGTATGAGACGTGCCCTTAAGTGGGTGTGCCCCCAAGTGGGTGAGCTGACTTAGTCAGAGCCTACTTATATTAGCTTATAAGTATAGCTACTACTTATATAGTACTAAAAGATACGAACTATTATTAGTACACCTATAGATAACCCTACCTATATACTGTGACAAGGTACCTAAGGTGTATAGTGCATTTATATACCTTCCTTTATGGTCACGAGCAGTTCGACTTCTTAAGGTAGGTAATAGCCTGCCTTCGTCACCCCCTCATCGCTCACATGGTCGGCCGGCCGGCTCCTGGTTTTCACGCAAACTTCCACCATGGACGAATGATGCACTGAGTGGAAGAGCATCATCCCACCATCGACCGCCATAGACTGTCACGCCAGTACAACTGGCTTCTGGACCCGTTACCGAGATAGACAGACGAACCACACCGTTGCCTAAGAATCAAATACACTCGGTATTATATTAGCTGTCGTGTCATGAAAAGAGATCGATGGTTCATCCTCAACACCCCCTGCTACTGGCTGATTTATTTCCCGAATCTTTAAAACACAAGTGCTGGCGGACCTGACTGCTGCTAGCCAGCTTCCAGCGCGCCACCCAGCTGACTGGCCACACCCTTCGTGTCGTGTGCAGCCGCGAACTTACCGGCTCCGTCGGTCCACAACCCGTTATCGCCATCACCTGCCTCAACTGTTCGTTCGCCCCCCATGGAGTCGGCCATGGCCAGCGTCGATCTCGGCCGGTATCGTCGACTGGTCCAAATGTTCTGGGACCCGGAGCCCGCCAACGACATCGGCACCGACCAGCCCGTCTGGTGCCTCGGTCGCACATATAAACTATCCGACAAGACGAGGCAAGAGACAACGCCCTCCGCGACCTCGTCGACGAACCAGTCGGAGACCCCGCCAGAGTCATTGTCAGGGAGCTTCTCCTCGTCCCTGGCCTATGAAGAGCCAGCACGAGACGGCAGCGGCTGGCCTCAGGGCTTTGTTGACGACTTTGGGTCGAGGTTCTGGATGACATACAGGTATGGCTTCGAGCCCATACCAAAGTCTCGCGATCCAGGGGCCATATCCGTGCTGTCACTGTCCATGCGCCTCAAAAGCCAGCTGGGCGACCAAATCGGCTTCTCGTCCGATAGCGGATGGGGCTGCATGATCCGGTCTGGTCAAAGCCTTCTTGCAAACGCAATGGCCTTGCTACGGCTGGGGAGAGGTATGCGAACAAACCCCTAGGCTGGACAATCTTGGTTGTGTCCAACGTGCTCTGACGGGTAAAGCATAGACTGGCGTCGAGGCGAACTTCGACAAGACGAGCGCCAACTCGTCAGCCTATTTGCCGATGATCCGCGAGCGCCGTACTCCATCCACAATTTTGTGCACCACGGTGCCAGTGCATGTGGAAAGTACCCGGGCGAATGGTTCGGCCCGTCTGCGACTGCTCGTTGCATAGAGTGAGATACCGCCCGTAATTCGGACCTCGGGGTGGAAGCGACTGACGAGGGCACTCTAGGGCCCTCGTGAACAAACACGAGCCGTCTCTCCGGGTATATTTGACTGGAGATGGACCCGACGTTTACGAGGACAGCTTTATGAGCATTGCGAAACCTGACGGAAGCCAGTTTCACCCAACATTAGTTCTCGTGGGGACACGGCTGGGCATCGACAAGATCACGCCTGTCTACTGGGAAGCACTCATAGCGTCACTACAGATGTCGCAGTCCGTGGGAATTGCTGGGTATGTGCAGTACTTCCCTTTCACACCCGGCTTGGCAGTGCTGACACTCAAGATGCAGCGGTCGTCCCTCCTCATCCCACTACTTTATCGGCGCACAAGGGTCGTTTCTTTTCTACCTCGACCCCCATCACACGAGACCGGCCCTGCCCTACTATTCCGACACGGAACAGTACGCAGACGATGATATTGACTCTTGCCACACGTCCAGGTTGCGCAGAATACACGTCCGGGAAATAGACCCGAGCATGCTGATTGGGTTCCTGATTCGCAGCGAGGATGATTGGCTGGAATGGCGGAGATGCGTCAAGCATGTCCAAGGGAAAGCAGTCATACACGTTGCAGATCATAACGTAACCACCCAAGGCTCGGAGAGTCAAAGGGAAGACGCGATCAACGAAGTGGAGACGTTGAGCGACAATGACAGCGACATAGTCATTGACGCATAGAGAGACTGACAACGCCACGTCTGAATGGTGGCGTTAGTGGGTTGCTTTTGGGGGGTCGGATATGGTGGGCGGCTGCTGGCCAAATTTTCCATGGGCAGGGTCTCACGGGTGGTTTGCGTCAAGTACGCCTGAGTTTACCAGGCTAGAACCCAGTGATTACGTGAATCGACAATGGAGAAACGATTTGTCGACAGATCTTTGTGCTACGATTCAAGTGCAACAATGCTGTCGTTTTATTAGTTCTCTGTCGTTTGCTGAACCGCCTCTGTCTACGCACGAACCCGGGATGGAAAGCGGACCAGTCAGGTCATCGCCTTTTCTTCATGGCCTTCTCGTCTCTTGTCGCTGTTTTTGACGCGGGAGCAGCGTGTCCCTCCTCGCGTATATGTTTGAAGAGCCTGGTCCTGGACTCGAACGACTCTGAACACACAGAGCATGGATGCTGCGCAGCTCGTGAGATTAGTTGGGTCTGTGGAGAGGGGATGACGCAACGCACCCCGATGCCGCCCTCTAGTGACCTCTCGGCCGCTGCCTTTCTTCTCTCTCGCTTGGCCTTGGCTTTGCCCGTCTTGGGGCGAGGCTCCGAGGTTTCGCGAATCGTCGTCTCCTGCAACTGGGGTGACAGCTCACCCTCACTTGATGAGTCGATAGCTTGCCCTCCCCCACCTTGGGCAGAGTCCAGCCTCTGTTCAACCATGCTCCTGGGTGCGTACTCGTCATAACCCAATGCAGACGTGGACCCTTGTGGGCTCGACGATGCCTGCCCATCCATGGCAGTGTCCAGCTCCGCCGCTTCCGTGCTCTCCCGTTCTGCCTCTTGGGGAGCGGCCGCCAGCTCTGGAGGCACCGTGCGAGGAGGCTGGTCGATGTCGGATGCTGGCAAGGGAGCAGTATCCAGGTCGAGCTCCGCGCCTTCTTTTCGCAACTGGCGGCGCAGCTCTTGAACGGCTTTGGTGTGCTTCTTACTCCGGTCGTGGGCTTTGAGCTGATTGGCACTTTTGAACGATTTATTGCAGACGACACATTCGAGCAACTCTATCTCCGACTCTTCATCGGACTCCGAGTAGAAGCACTCCTGTGTTTCGTCGGCGCCAAAACCCGTCCAGTCGGGAACACTACACGACGCCATCTTCTCCCGATTTGCAGCGCGAGATCGAGCAGCTTGGGCCGCCACCACATCGCGCAGTGATTTTTGACGCTCAGCGTTGGTCTGTGCATTTGGGAGGTAGCGAGGATCACGTTTCCTTACGAAGACGACCAAGAAGCCAACCGCGTCATTGAACTCACGGATGGCATCATCACGGCTCTTCTTGTTTTCCTTTTCCATGAGGCGGCGCGTTCGGCGGTCAGGCGCGTCCGATGGACGATACTTGTCCTTCCAGGAGAAATATTTCTTAGTGGAAAAGCCAGCCCACGCGGCGTAGAATGGCTTCACGACGCCGTCGTAATCATCGCCGGCAAAGCCAAAAGTCGGATACTCCGGGCAGTCCAAATTGGCAGCCTCGGCTGCAGCTTCCTCCTCCAGGGCGAGATGCTCAAAGACCTCCCTGGCCATTCCGAAGAAGCCGCTGGGTTGGTCATTAAAGGGAACGGTTGCATTGAACTTGCGCACGAGGCTTAAGATTTCCTCTGTGGTTGTCAAGCGGACGTTGCGGAACGTTGCGGGCTCGGCGCCGTGTCCAGAACCGTCATGGCCGCTCAGAATAGCGTCACGGTGAGAGTCGTACCACGCCCTCTCCTGGGGATCAGAGAGGACGTCGTAAGCGGCCTGTACCTCTGCAAACTTTTTCGTGGCCGTCTCGACATCGTTTATATTGCGGTCAGGGTGGAGCTCCAGCGCTCTTTTGTGGTAGGCCTTCTTGATCCTGGGGCAATATGAGACCCAATCCGCATCATCCCCGGGCTTAGGTTGTCACTCACTCATGTTCGGTGGCATCGTGCTCGACGTCCAGCAGGACGTAGTAGCATGTCCTAGCAACGGTAGCATTGGCGTCTTGCCCAGGAAGAGACTGCTGGGCGCCCATGTCGGTTCGGGTCGGGTCAAGGGTAAATTATACTAGCTTTACAACGAGAAATTACTCCTAATTATAAGGGCGGTCCTCTGCTTACGTACCTAAGAGCTATCCTAGCATCTTAGCTTACTTTATACTTATATTTATAATATATATAAGCTTCTATAATAATACTTTACTATATAATCTTTAAAATAATATTATAAATCTTATTATTACTTATAATAAGGAAAGTACTTAAATAAATACTAACTTAAAAGATTATAAGTATAGTTTTAAAGTATATAAGTAATACTATAATTTATTATAAGATTAATATAATAAAGTAAGAGATATAATAAGTATTAATATTATTATTATAAGTATATTAATAACTTAATTAAACGGTTTAGTAGGAAGGGATATAGAAAGTAAATAAATAATATATAAAAGTAAAAAAGAAAGTAAAAGGTTTAATAAGTAAAGGTATAGTTATTTAATTATTATAATAGTAATAATTAAGGTAAGGGAATAATTATTAAATTACTTTAATAATTTTTTTTTTCTTTATTTAATACTTTTTTTATATTTCTTTAATATCTTAATTAATAAAAAAGATATTACTTAAAGAAGCTTTTAATCTTATTTTAACTAATACCTTTTTACTAGATTTTTCTTGAAATTTTTTTAGCTATTACTAGCCCTTTTATTTTATATCTTTTTTATTTTTATTCTTATATTATATATTTTTTATATTATTACTTAAGTATATTAAAAATTCTTATAAAACTAATATACGCCTATTATAAGTATATTTTTTTTATTATTACTCGTATGCAGCCTCTAGGGCCATAGCGAGGCTAATAGGGGCCTAGGCCCCTATTAGCAGTCCTAGCTAGCTATAGAGCCCGGGGGCTTATACCTAATTAGGGAAAGGGTAGCTATAAAGGCAAAGACAAAGGAAAGGTCAATCTAGTTCCTCCTACGCGGTGTTTTTCCCCCCTAAGGGCCTAAGGGCCCCTAGGTTACTCTTTTTCGAGCTACTTAGCCGTTCCTATCTCTGTTTTAGCTAAGAAGGTTAGAAGGGCTTCCCTTCCTTCCTTAGTGCTATAGAGAAGAGGTAGGCTAAGGGCCTTCTTCCGTCCCTTCGAGGCCCGGTAAAGGACCTCTCTTTCCCTCCTATAGTTTAGGCACCTTAGGATAAGGTGCCTAGCCGTGTGCCTTCCTTGGCCGCAGCGGCAGTCGTCTCGGCCTACCTTATTAACCCTCTTTAAGAAGGATAATAGGAAGCCGGCCCTAAGGAGAAGTTGGTAGTAGGCCGAAAGGGTCGGCCTAGGCCTTCCTATAAGGTCCTTTTCCGGGCTAAAGGCTAAGCGGGGGGTCTTTCGAATAGACGTATAGTGCTTGCCTAAGCCTTTAGCCTTAGGGCCTTTAGCTGCCTCGGCAGCCTAGAGGCCCTTCTAGTAGTCCTTAGCCGCTTGTCGGACCTTTCTTCGTAAGTAGCTAATAGAGACTATAGGGGTCCCTTGCGTAGGGGCCCCTAGGCCTCTCTTAGCTAGCTGGTCGGCTAGCTCGTTACCGAAGATCCCTAGGTAGCTAGGGCACTAGTATAGCCGTATATTATAGAAGGCCTCTAGGCTAGTTAAGAGCCTTCTAATACGTATAGCGAGGTCTAAGTAGCCCTTAACCTTTCGTATAGCGGCTTAGCTATCTATAAAGATATAAGCCTCTATAGGGGTTAAGGGGGCTAGGACTTAGAGGCCGAGGCCTCTTAGCTAGGTCCTCTAGGACCCTTAGTATCGCGAATAGCTCTGCGTCGGCTACTTCGATAGAGGCCCTAGGTTCTCGTAGTACGCCTTACTAGGCCTATTTTCTAGGCCTATCTCGTAGAAGGAGCAGGCGTTGGTCTCATAGGGGACCCCTTAGGGCACCTTAGAGCCGTCGGTATAGAAGACTAAGGGCCGTAGCCCGAAGTCTTCTAGGCTAGCTAGGTTAGCTAAGAGGCGTTGGTGCTGCTTCTTAGCTAGAGGCTTAGGGGCCTCTATTATCGTAATAGAGGCCTTAGGCTCTAGAGCCTACGGGGGCTCCCAGCTAGCTTTCCTTCTTTCTAAGCTATAGTTAGGCCCTATAATAGCTACTAGGCCTTTAAGGAGGCGGAAGAGTTGCGTATAGGGCCTAATATAGCTTAGGGCTCCTAGGTCGGAGCCCGAGTCGGCGAGGTCGTCCCGTACGGCTAGGTTATAAGCCTGCCTTATAGGGTGATTCGGTAGGAGGTATAGGGTTCGAAGGGCATAGGAGAGGCATGCCTTTTTAAACCGTACCTCTGGTAGTAGGAGGGCTGCTTCGGCTTCTAGGGCCCTAATAGGGGATCCTTTAAAGGCCCCTAGGACTTTTAGAAGGGCCTGGTTCTGAAGCCTTTAGAAAGGCTTTATTAGGCTCTTAGGGGTCTTAGGCCCCCTATACTAAAGCTGGGCCCCGTAGTCTGCTATCGAGGTCACGCAGGCCTAGTAGAGCTGCCTCGAAGCTCTAAACGATAGGCCTCTTTGCATAGAGACTAGGCGGGATAGCCCTTCGAAGGCAGCTTATGCGGAGGCTACCTTCTTTTCGATGTGTTGTTTAAATAGGAGCTTAGAGTCGAAGAAGACCCCTAGCCACCGTACTAAGGGCTTCGCTTCGAAAAATAGGCCTCCTACCTTTATACCCTCTAAAATAGGCTGCCTTTGCCTACTAAAGTAGATAAGTTCCGTCTTAGAGGGTCGAAACAGACCCTTGGTCCTTAGCTTATTTAAATAGGTTAGCAGCTATAGCTTCTAGCTGCCGGACGTTCTTCTTAGCCGAGGTCGACGTTATAGAGATGCTAAAATCGTCTATATAGGATAGCTAGTACCCTTAGCCGCTAGTATCCCCTTACGTATAAGAGGAATAGTATAGGGCTAATAGGGGACCCTTAGGGTACCCCTATTACTAGGTCCGTTAGGGGCTAGGTTTGCCCTTCGAAGGCTAGCTAGATCTTCCTTTTAGTAAGGAAGTGGTCTACCTAGCTTATAAGGGCCTTAGGGAGGTTTAATTCCCTTAGGACCCTTATAAGCTATTCCTTTAATACGAAGTCGAAGGCGCCTTTTATATCTAATAAGAGGGTGCTAGTAATAGCCTTCTTATTAGACTCCTACTTCTTTTAGACGTAGTATAGAAGGAGGAAGGCCGTGTCGATAGCTAACCGCTATTTTCGTCCCCCTAGCTACGTAGGGTTTAGAAGCCCGGCTATATTAGCTAAGTAGCTTAGCCGGGTAGCGTATAGCTGAGGACCTTCCTAAGTAGTTAAGTAGACTTATAACCCTATAGGCTTTAGGGATAGTATAGTCTAGCTTATTTTACTTAGGAGTATAATTCCTATAGCTTCCTTCTATACCTTAGGGTAGTATCCTTAGTTAAATAGGGCTTTATAGGCCCTATTAAAGACCGTGGGAATAACCTTATACGCGTATTAGATAGGAAGGAAGCTAAGGGAGTCCGGGCCGGGGGCTTTCTTATTAGAAGAGCTAACGATAGCCCTTTTAATCTTAGGGTCCTTTAGCTCTTACTAGTCCAACTTAGCCGTGCCCTTACTACCTATAGGGCCCGGGGGCTCTTCTTTTCTAGGCTCTAGGGGCTAGGGGCTAGGCTAGGGTCCGGGGTCGGAAAAAGGGTCGTTAAGAAGGCCTCGTATTTTTCCGTAAAGGTATTAGCTTTTACCTCTATCCCTTCTTTTATATATAAGATACTTAGAAGGGTAGGGTTAGCTTTAGCCTTAGTATAGGAAAAGGCCGTAAAGACGTCCTTTCCTACTACTTCTACTAGGAAGCTCTCTTAGTATTGCTTTTTAGCAGCCCTAATAGCGTACTTAAAGCTATTTCGGGCCTCTATAAAGCTCTTCTAGCTCTCCTCGTCCTAGGCTAGCCTATAAGCCTATTAGGCTAGGCTTAGGGCTTTCTAAAGGAAGGTTAGCTCGTTAGTCTACTAGGGTTTAGATCCCTTATAGGGCCTCTTTTTCGGTATCGCTATATTAGAGGCCTCTATAAGGGTTCTTATTAGAAGGGAGGCTATCCCCTCTAAGTCGTCTCGTTTTATAGCCCTCTCTATAGCTATAAGGAGGTCCTGTTCCTTCTTAGCTAGGTGTTCCGAGAAGGCCTTCTAGTCTACTTTCCTATAGTTATAGGTAGCAGGCCTAGCTAATAGGGGCCTATTAGGGCCCCTTAAGCTAGCTTCGAAGGCTATAGGCTTATGGTCTAAGCCCGTAGCCTCTAAGAAGCGGAAGTTAGCCCAGGTTAGTTGCTTAAAGGGGCTATAGAAAGCAAGGTCTATAACCGAGGTCCCTTTTAAGCCTTCCCTCTAGTAGGTGCCTTCTATAGCTACTATAAGGTCCGTTAGTAAGGAGGCCTTATAGCGGTCGAGCTAGCTAATAAGGGCTTCTACCTTACGGGCCTTAGAGGATTCCGTAGATAGGTTCTACTAGGGGTAGTATAGGTTAAAGTCCCCTGCTAATAGAAAGGGCTGCTATAGGAGCTAGGCTATTAGTAGCAGCCTTTCTATTATAAGGGGCCCTTACCGGCCTTAGCTAGCTAGGGCCCCTTTAGCCTCTTTTTCGTTATATAGGTTAATAAGGGTAAACGGCTCGGCGCCTTCTACCCTTATAGCCTATATATCGGGATCGTAAAAGAGGTCGAAGCTAGGGCTAGCTTCTATCCGGGCTTCCTTCCTCTTATAAGCTATAACCCTAGGCCTCCTATCGAGCTTAGGAAAGTCGGTAGAGGGGATAGGGGTTATAACGTTATAGGCCGGATGCTATATAGGGATATAGCTATTATCGATCTTATAGAGGTAAGGCTCTTATAATAAGATAAGGTCCGCTCTTATTTCTAGGGCCTGCTCTAGGATCGATAGGTTCGCTGTTTCCTACCTATTAGTATTATACTATATAATACTAATAGGGTCGTAGTTAGGCCTAGGGGGCCTAGGGGGCTTCGGGGGCCCTATAGGCGTAAGGGGGCTAAGGC